TTGGAAATTAGTTTGGGTAAAAGAATAAATAAGTTAACAAACTGGAAAAAATGTCTTTGGAGGGGAAACAAAGCCAACCAAATCTTACTACATGACTGAAGCAACTATTCCAGTTATATCAGTATTTGCTTTAGGAGTCTGTAGATGCTAAGGTTTAAAACTATATACCTGATTGGGAGTACCTGGAAGTATGTTGACATTGCGGAAAAGCAGTATTTGTGTCCTGTTTAATAGGAGTTGAGCTCAACATGTCACAGGCCAATTTTTAATCAAATTTTGTTTCCAAATCAGAGTTTAATGTGTAAGGATTAAATGTGAACTAGAAGGTTGGTTGTAGCATAGAAAGCTAACTGTAGCAGTTAGCTACCCAGGTTAAAGGACATTCTAGTCTTGAAAACTATTCTTGAACTATGTTTAAAAAAAACCAAAAAACCCAAATAAGGCTATGACTTGTTAATGAATTCTGTATTCTCCTGGCACAGCCTTTTACCAGCTCTGGCTAATTCTCTGCTTTTAGCCATATGGAAGAATTACTGCCCGATGTTCAACAATGCAATTTCTAGATTTCATATTTGTTTCTCCTGTTGGTAATCTAGTTTGGCTAGCTTGCTTTCAGGCCTGTTTTGAATGTCTTTCAAACAAGGAATAAAAAACAGATATAGCTTGTTTATAAATGCTTGTGTCATGTATGTGTTAAGTATTTTGTATACTTACCTGAAAATTGAATTAGAGTATTAAATTACCTGTAAACTAATTCAGAATGCAGTCTCTAGTATATGACTGGAAAGTGTTGTGAATTCCTGCTTTTCTACTCATGATTTTTAAAAACAGGGAGGAGTTCTTGTGAGAAAGAGTTGCTTTTCTTTTAAAATAATTCTATGCCCATTACAGACTTCTTTCTGAGCTGTGGAAAAAGTCTTCACTGGGTAACTTGCAGCTTTTTAGATCTGAGCAAAACACTTCTTTAAAAGTAGTGGCCACGAGTCTTTAAAGATGCTGCTTTCTGTTGAATCTTTAAATGAGTTGAGTATCTGTAGATAAGAAACTGGCTGTTTAATAGATTCATAGCTCTTGACTGCCTTTTGTACCAGTGATGGTTAGTAATTTGAAGCAAGTCTTCTGAACTGGTGATTGATGACGTTTTTGATGTATAACAAATCTGTTAGTTGAAATTACTGGCAGATGTCAAAGCACAGTGCAAAACAAGCTAGGTTTGCAAGTTTTCTAGCCTTTTGTTCCTGTTGCATTAGTGTGGGTTTTGCACTGCTTCATGTTCATATCATACACATATCAGACAAAAGTTAGACGTATTAAACCAATGTCATACTACGCTTGGCCACTGTTCCTTGACTGTGGGAAGCGGTGTCTAGGGACCAGGAAAAAAAAATGCATAACGATGCTTACATGGGAGCGGTTGCTTGCATGACCTGTCATGCAAGTTAAAAGTGTGTAAGTAGTACCTCTTTGCAGAACGCACAATTCAGTGTGTGAACTTATTTAGTATCCTAGGTTTTGTACTTCACTGAAGAAATCTTAGAGAATCACAATGTAGTTTGTCATCTACATACCTGTACAAATATCCTACACATAGAATTGTTGTGTGTTCACATGTAATGCAAGCCTTATGTCAAACTTGTTTTGACTTAGTAGCAAATGTTAATGTTAGGCTAGATTAACTCGAAAATAAGCATAGTTAACACTTCTTATTAGAGTAAATATTGAAAGCATGTTGTGAGATAGATATCCAGTCTGGCTTTAGTTTTCTTGCCATGCAGGAACTATTAAACTTTGTGCTGATCTAAGGTGTGAAAGGTCAAACACACATCACTAATGAGTCAGGGACTTTCACAGAACCAATTTAAGAGAGGGTGAAGTGACAGACTAACTTGATTAAAAAAACAAAAAGGTGGTGTGGGATGATGAATTTGAGTCTCCTTTGCTGCAAACCAAACCCCAAACCACTCAGCTTTATGTACAAATATTAAAAATTTGTTTAGTTATCCAAGACTTGCATCCTTCCTGAGCTGATATTCTGTGTTCTAATGCCAAAAGAAATAGTTTACTTGCTTTGACTTAGCATAAAGACGAGAACCAGAATCGTAGCATAAAAATAAAACTGACTGTTTAGTGTGCGAGTACTTTGCATATCAATCACTGAATACGTTGGTAGCAGTTTAATTTTTAACATGTCAACTTTTGTGCTGTGGGATTTAAATTGTTTTCCTCAGTACGAAACTGCACAATTTAGTTACAAAATTATGCTTTAAGTATCTCTGGTTTTGTATCCTGCTGTAAACAGCAACTTTAGCATTGTGTTTAAAACAAACTCTGTCTACAGTGAGTGAAAAAATCCCACTTGTGTTTACAAGAGTTAACAAGACTTAACTTTTTCTTATGACACATACCTTACCTTTTTAGACTAACTTTGTACCCAGCCCGTGCATGAGCAGACATTAGTTGTGAGTGAATTTTTCCTTCCACCTCACTGAATTTATAAACTGACCAATTCTGCCACTTTGTGGATAGCAGAAGGACATACAGGTTTTCTTGCCTGTGAGAGCAGGTGATGATAGACATCGTGTGGTTTTGGTTGTGTTTTTTTTCTTCCCCTTTCTGTGTGTCAATATCACTGTTTCGCTTTCAACCTTTGTTTGAGGGCTGGCTTTTTCCCCTTTTGCCCTATGTGTTTTGTGGTAGGATTATAGTGTAACTAACAGAGGAATTATAGATACATATCCAAACAATACTTCTTAGAAGTTAAATATTTGGAGTCTTTGCAGAGTCAATGATATACCAAGTACAAGTTTAATATGATACAACTAAGTTTTTCACACGTAACTAAGTTTTTTACACATTTAAAACTGGCTTTCTTCTTGAGTGAAAGGAAATGATCACTGGGTCTGCTTGCTTTATGGTGTCATATAAAGCCTTCTTTTACCTGGTGGACTTAAAAATGTTACTCAATGGTGATCCACTAGATGATGTATTTAGAAGTTTTCTTTCAAGAAGTTAGCAGGAGAAAATGAACTTCTTGACTGTCTGGATTTGCTGCAGACGTGAATGTCTCTTTCATGCAAGATGAGATTCCTTTGAAAAAAACGTTTTCTTGAGGCTGTGCATGCATGCAGAGTCCCACATGTCAGTGCAGTTGATGGAACTGCACTTGCATCAGTTGCCTTCTGCTGCCTTTGGCACTGAGGCAGAACTGAAGTGCTGAGTCCTATTACTCTGAGATTCCAGGTTTCTAAGAAACAGTTTTTAAAAGCTGTCTCCATTGTCCTGTTAGCTGTTTTCCTTGTACACTGATGACTTTCACAGTGGTATGAGGCACATAA